GGGGGGGGGCATGGAAGGAGCAGCAGCAAGGAATCAGCTGAACAGAACGGAACGCATATAAGAGGCTTCCCTTCGTACTTTGCGCTTACTATTTATGAGCGTGGGGTCGAGGCCGATGGGGTGGTGGAATGAGGTCTTGCGCTCGCGCTTCGGGACAGATGTACTCGCCCTGCTCGTATTTTACCGCATGACGAGAGACTGGTCCAATCACGGTCCAAACTCCACAACGGCAGCGCCAGCAGCGCCACAGTTCATTTCCTCTGCTTTCTTTTCAACGAACCGGCCGCATCTCTTTTATATTTGCCCCCCCCCCCTTCTACCCTCCCCATCGGTTCTCTCTCATCTCAAATTCCGATATACGCGTTCGTCGCTATACTATACATTAGTGAATTGCCATACCCTGCTAGTACGCGCAGTATGTGTCTCCTGTGGTTGGGTGGCTCGATGGCTGAGCTTTGTTAGCTTCGGTTCGTGTTTAAAGCGATGCACGGCGAAAAAAGTTTCTTGTCTTTCAAGACCCGATCTCGGATCTTATGGAGAACGCCAATTGGGCAACCAAGACCAGGTCTTGAAATATAAGAAACTATTTTTTTACACTGTCATCCGTATTTCACACTTCCTCCCAAAGAATGTCAGAAACGGAAACAACCATCATCGTACAGTCCTGTTTTCCGCTTACCTGTATTGGGTTCGGATGGGGGGGGGGGGGGATGGACACGTGCGCGAAACACACGTGCGACTAACATTCCCGATGAGGTGTACGCGATGGATCGAGTGGGATCGAAATTCCAGCGCTCTCCCGCCGGTGACGGCGCCGTATGGTGCGGTGTGTGCGGGAGATTCTGGTGGGCCAGGGAGGGGGAGGAGATAGGGGTGCCCGTGGGTGCCAGATCAGCCTCCGGCGTGCCCGCGCGACCATACCGGCGACCGGCGTGCGGTCACTGGGCCTCCGCACGGGGCCCCCCAGCCCCAGCCTGTGTAGAGAGCGTCCTCCTCCCCGGTGCGTTTTGGGGCTCCGGCGGACTCTGGCGACAAACTTTGATCGCACATAGTTAGTCCCGGGACGGCGGCCGCACACTATGGGCGCGTGAGGTCTGAGCCCAAACTCACACCGGGTGCGGGCTGGGGGCGGGCCGGGG